ACTATCTGTGCTGAAGGAAATCAACTTTGAGTGCTCACTGGAAGGAGAAATCCTGAAGCTGAGGCTCCAATACTTTGGCCATCTGATGAGAAGAGAAGACTCCCTGGAAAAGATGCTGATGTTGGGAAAAAGTGAAGGCAAGAGGTGAAGGGGACGACAGACGATGAGATGGTTGGGCAGTGTCATCGAAGCTACCAACATGAATTTGACCCACTTCCAGGAGGCAGGGGAAGACAGGAGGGCGTGGCATTCTCTGGTCCATGGGGTCACGAAGACTCAGACACGACTTAACGACTAAACAACAAATGTCTGTACCAGCTGTTTTCATTTGGTTTGTCCTTGAAGGTACTGTGGGAAAAACCTGTTCAAGTCATCCTTTGGACAGTCAGTTTTTATTCCATGTGAACAAAGAAGGCTTTGTTTTCATGGAATAACTATATTGAACAATGTGTCTATCCTTCCAAAAACAAGAGTGACCTAGAGGATGATCAAAGAAACTGTCTCCACTGACCATGCAACTGAAATTTGGAAAGTAATGCATAGCCAATGGCTTTCAAATGCCCTTGTCATTGCTAGACTAAGATGCAAGAAAGCCATCAATCCCCAGCATAGGTTTTAGATTAGCCAAGGGTGCTACGACTCTTGAAGATTAATGTTTAGATTAGGACCTTGTAATGTAAAAAGTACGTACATGTATGCCCTAAAAACTCCACAGTACTGTAAAAGAGTAGATTAGGACCTTGTAATGTAAAAAGTACATATATGCCCTAAAAACTCCACAGTATTGTAAAAGAAATGAAAATGATGAACATTCAGATCCTTGGGATAAATGTGGTTTACCATGTACAGATAGGCATTAGACATACTATACTTCATATGGGCAATAGTGATGTACAGCGCCATTATGGACTTGGAATAACAGGAAAGACATAAGAGCAACTGTTTATGAACTTATTTCAATGCTCAGATTGGATCATGATTATGTAATAAAATGGAAATCCCACAGATATCAACAGCTTATAAGCATAGCTTCCAGCTATTGATAAAAATGAAGAAAGAAAAGAAAGATTATATTAAAAATTCAAATCTACTATGAAGCATAAGAAAACCAAATCCAAAATGTCATAATGGAAAATGTTAATCCTAAAACAGGCCAACTGTTACACAGAGTGTTATCCTTAAGTAGTATTATCTTTATCTGTCTAGAGTGGTCATATTGACCAGATAGGTGGGGTATAAATAAAATAAATAAAAAAAATAAATAATTAAATACACATACCTTGGGGACATTAAACATTAAGGGCACAGGGACATAGAATGCAGAAAGAACAGGCAATGGTTTTAGTTCACAATCTGGCTTTTCCTTCACTCACAGAATATATCTTCTGTGCAATAGCCCATCTCATTTAGCAAGCCTTAATATGTTTTCTGTTTATGAGGTGAGGGAGGAAAAATAAGAAGATGATACCCTATTTCCATCAGACCAGTTGTACTGTACATGCTTAAATCTGGATGAACATAAGAACAGAAGAAGAGCCCTGTTGGATCAGACCAAAGGCCCATCTAGTCCAGCTTCCTGTATCTCACAGTGGCCCCACCAGATGCCTCTGGGAGCACATGAGACAACTAGATAGCCTGTCCCCCAATACCCCTCCCCTACAGCTGGCATTTTGAGGTCCCTTCCTTTGAAGCTTGGAGATTCTATATCCCCATCATGGCTTGTAACCTGCAATGGACTTTTCCTCCAGTGACAGATCATCTCTCCCCCTTATCACAACAATATACCCACAACAAAAAACACGCTAATCACCATAATCACCCAATCTCCTGCAAAGGACAAAAGCTGATCCCACAGCTATAAATACTCAACTATCCAACAAACTGCACCAGAGCACAGACAGAATTCTGACTCCTGTCCTCTGAAGATGCCAGCCACAGAGACTGGTGAAACATTAGGAAGAAAAACCTAATGGCCAAACAGCTTGGAAAACCCACAACAACTATAAGATCCCAGCCGCGAAAGCCTTTAAGAATACTGTACATTATCCCTATTGTGCTTAAGTTCCAGAACTGACCCCTAACAGACTCAGTGCCCATTATTATAGTGGAGGATCATGTCAATAGGATTTATGTCAGAAGGTCATAGCCCATGGATAAACCTATGAGAGCATCCACTCACAAGGTGGAATATCACAATGATCATGGAAAAACATCTGTATGAGTCTGTTTAAGAACAATATTCACTCAGTTTAGAGAAGTAAACACTGGTGGCTTCACAATGGTGAAGCACCAGTGTTAACTTCTGGAAACTGAGTGAATAATGTTTTATGCTAAAACATCTAAACAATAAAAAAGACCCAATAACAGTCATTTGGCATTTACTAACTCATGCCTTTGCTGAAAGGTTTTTGTGTTTGATCAATTTCTTAAAAATCTGTTGAAATTAGTTTTGAAAACTGAACACATTCAAAGTGAAAGAGACAATATAACAAATTATCAGTAAAATGCTGCTTAAAATTTAATAGAGGAGTATACCTGTAGTGGCTGGATAGTTCAGTGAGTTAGGTAGGTTGGGAGTTCAGTTCCCCACTTTGCATCCTAGAAAAGCCAGCCTGTGTGGCAAGCAGAACTGTCCCAGGATGCACCCAGAAAAAAGGAATGGTAAACTAGCACTTTTTAGTACTTTCCATCTAAAAAACCCTGAAAAGGGTTGCCATAAGTCAGAATTGATTGATGACACACAATGGTTACCTTACAAGTACGAGTCTGGCCAGTGAGGCACTCTGTGCAAAGCTCATTTCTGTCAGTAAAGCAACTTCATAGATACCTTGAATCAGCCATAATCAATGCTCTCTTCCCCCTGCCCTTGCAATCTTACACAGAATTTTTGTAGGGGCTTGTGTTATGATTGTCCATGCCCAGGTAATGTTTTTCAGTACCACCTCATCCTGATTTAGCTTCCAAGAATGCTGCAGTATCAGTTAATGGGTGTCTGATTCCCCCTCACACCTATTCAAGCAGCTCTGAGCCCTTGGTTAGTGTGGACTTCAGGGTTGCTATAGGTAGCTCCTTTCCAACACTGTTGCATCCTTAGAGTTGTGTTTCATCTTTGGTTATGTGACGCTATGGCACTCATCATTAGTGTTCTGAGCATGCAGGATATATACACTAGTTGCGTCCAGCAAGCTACATTCAGTATTGCTGGCACTGTGAATACTGCATTCAGCAAGTTTTGCCATTAACACCCAGTTCTGCACAATGAGATTTCAAATATTTAATTGTTCATGTGGCAATTTTAAATGAAAATAAATCTATACTCTGCTTCCATCCCTTGCAGTCTGCATATGCTAGGCAATGAGGGCACGAAAACGCTGCGCGTGGCCATTTTGGGCCATTTCCAGGCTTCCGGCAGCCATTTTGGCCACCGAACAGCTGATCGTCGGGGGTCGTTTTGCGAAGATCGGTAAGCGAAACACTTACCAGTCTTCGCAAAGCGAATTTTGCCCCATTAAAAAAACGTTGAGCGATCACATTAGCGATCCGAAAAAACGGATCGCTATGCGATTTCATCGTTATACGGTGCGCTTGTTAAGCGAGGCACCACTGTAGATGGTAACAGGTTTGAAATTCATAGTCTCCAAACAATGATTAGATGCACCTTCTGTGAAGGGATGTTGAAGGTACTTGATTTATGCTGTTTACTATTAATGGTGGCAAACAATTGTTATGGGAAATATGGCACTAAATCAATGAAGTACACTACTTTCTAATGAGCTAGCTGAGCTAGTCCTGTTGTACTATGACTGATGTTAGAAATATGTGGTACTCAGTGCCTTTCAGTAAGACTCAACTTCTTAATTCTTATATATTAATCAATAACCAGATGTTGTCATACTGGTTGTGACTTATGTTGACTTCTTAATTCTTATATATTAATCAATAAGGAAAACCTTCAGACCATTCAGATGTTACCATACAGTTGTGACTTATGTTTAACTTGGTCTGTTTGTTATTGTTACATTTGCAGGTGGTGGTCTATAAAGAAGTACTTTAAGTGGACGTGATCTGAAACACACACGAAGATGATGAGAAAACATTTTGTTCACATCTGTTGTAATTGCAAACATTAGATTTCATCATCTTCCACGTCACACTGGCCTACTAAATAGTAAAGAAATTCTGGGTAAACAGAATTGCAGGCAATGTTTTGCAACAGTGTAGTAGCACTCGCTTCAGCTTCAGGCAAAAGTATCATACTGGGTGGTGGTCTATAAAGAAGTACTTTAAGTGGACGTGATCTGAAACACACACGAAGATGATGAGAAAACATTTTGTTCACATCTGTTGTAATTGCAAACATTAGATTTCATCATCTTCCACGTCACACTGGCCTACTAAATAGTAAAGAAATTCTGGGTAAACAGAATTGCAGGCAATGTTTTGCAACAGTGTAGTAGCACTAGCTTCAGCTTCAGGCAAAAGTATCATATCAATGTTGGCTCCCCTTCCCCATGTTCTTTGTGACACTATTTTTTATCTTGCACTATGTATCTTTCAAAATTACTTCCTTCCTTCACATACTGTACTTTAAAATGTCTGAAATCTACTTTGTCACTCTTAACATGAGCAGGAACATGCTTTACTCATAGCTCTGTTAAAAGCTGAGGTAGAAGATAGAAGAATAATAAAACAATTTCTCCAGTTCAGGTTATTGGAAACATTAAGTTCCTGTATCAGAATGGAGAGTCATGATTCTGTTGAGGGCCACATTCTGTCCTGTTGACAAAGGATTTAGGACTGAAGTTCGCAGGGCCATCAGTTTCTCTCTCAGCCACTTGCTTCACTCCTTCTCCACTCCCCTTCCCCCAAAATGGGCTGCTGACAAAAGGAAAGATGATTCCGGCTGGAGGTCTGAACTGATGCCTTTCAGCTGGCTTTCGAAATTAATCTGAACACTTTTGAAATTAATCTAATGGTCTAAGACTGCGTGTTGCCCACCTCTGTCCTTTTTTTGATAGATTCTACGAGTCGGTGTTAACGATATTATTTTGAAAGCTTTTTGCAAGCGGGAACATCTATCACCTTGCTGGATTATGTTTAACAATCTCCTGGAAACTACACATCCCATGGATCCTTGCAGCCGTATTGTGTTCGGCGTTTGCTTCCACCAATGAAAATGGGCTAATTCAAGGGGTGTAACTTCGGGAGGCGGACGTCGTGGGGTATAAAACCAACTGTAGAAGAGCTTTAGTATCACTGCATGTAATCGGGTTTTGCTTAATTCCTTTTAGTCGTTTTCCCTGCTTAAAAGATACTTTTAAGCTTCCGACGGCTTAGATCTGAGTGAATTAGATTAAAACTAATGGACGCGATTTTGAACTGCAGACCGGAGGACATGGAAGATTATTACAGCTTGCTGGGATGTGATGAATTGTCTACAGTAAGTGCGGTTCTTCAATTCCGCGCCCCCCCCCCCGTAAATTAATCTGATGGATTTGTGTAAGCGGGGAGTGTACTTTTTATTTTCTTCAGATAATGTATCCTCTCTTCCCTTATTTATTTTTGTAGGAGACTTGATGCCTTACCCATCTTTTTGTATCTGCATGATATAGCAGTGACTGAAACAGTTGATTTGATGCATGCCTTAGTTTTGAAGGCACAAGTCTGTATTTTGTATAGGTAAATAAGAAGCATTTCTAAAAGTAACCTTTAGAAGCTGCTGGAAAGTAAATACTTAATATGTTTCAGTAACTATTTCAAATTTCATCCTAGTTCACTGTCTTTTGTGATTGCTGACAGATGGGTTTTGGGGTTGTCCAAAGCTTCAGAGATACATTGGTAGTGTTGATGGTAACTGATTCACACTCATCATGCACTAGCCTCAAGTCATGTCCCAGGAAAGGCTGGTATTTACACAATTTGTGATTAATCTAGGATTTCTAACTTGCTTGACCATATAATGTAGCCAGAGAGAGAGCTCTTATCCAGGTGGGGCTAAAAGAAGAAAATGCGAAAGTGGGACTGCTGTTGAATATTAAGAACTAAACAACTTTAATGTTGACAATAAAGAAATTGAAATAGTGAAAGATATTGTACATCTTGGTTCAATCATCACTCCAAATGGAGATTACAGCCAAGGAATCAGAAGACTGAAATTTGGAAGGGCAGCAATGAAGGAATTAGAAAATGTCATCCAGTAGAGGGGAGTATCTCTGGAGACCAAGACCAGTATTATCCAATCTGACAGGGAAAAAAATGATTTGTTTGGAATATGGTGCTGGGGAAGAACTTTGCAGATACACTGGGCTGCTAGAAAGATGAACAAGTAGATTCTAGATAAAATTTAAGCCTGAACAATCTCTGTAGTCGGTGAGGAAGCTGAAGCTATCATACTTCTGGCACATTATAAGAAGGCAAGATTCTCTGGAAAAGACAATAATAAAAGGTTGTAGGACAAGAGGAAGATGAAATATTAGATGGGTTGACTCCCTAAAGGAAGCAACAGGCTTGAATTTACAAGAGCTAAGCAAAGCTGTTGAGGATAGGACATTTTGGACAGCACACATACATAGAGTTGCCATAAATCAGAGGTGACTTAACAGCAACAAATGAGTTGTATGTATGTAGATATTGTATCTATAGCAATAGTGATTATTTTAACTGGCAAGAAAAGTTATTTAATATTGTACTTGGATGTTATACTGTAACTTTCAACAGGTTAAATATTGCCTCAACAGATGCTTGATTCAGCTAAATAAAAAGCTGATGTGGTTTGGATGTAAAGAGTATCTGATGCGTTGCAACAGATCTGTTAAAAGCTAAAATAGCTAGATAACATAGCATCCTACTGAAGTTGCTGAAATCAACTACCTGTAATTTGTTTTAACCAGTAGCCTGTTGGATTTGCAACCTGATCGGTTTGCTAGATCTGTTTGCTATATGGAAGAAATGGATGTTGCATATTAAAGATAGAAGTAGTCAATGTGAAATTGCACAGAACAGTATGACAATTTATATTTTAGAATTATGTAATCTTAGAATTGCAGAGCTGGTAGGAACCCTATGGATTATAGAGTCCATCCCCTGTCAGTGAGGGGCGGGGGGTGTAATTGAACTCCCAGCCTCTGGATGTAATCTAGTTATGTGGAAAAGATTATGTTTATTACCTTCTGCTGTATTTGCTTAGATGGTTATCTCATTTAAATCCCATCAAGGGGTGCAAACTGTCAATGATGAAGCCTAACCTAGACATCTGTGGTAAAAAAGTGTGTAGATTACTCTCTTGGGGCTTTATTTTATTGTGTTTTTTTCCCTCTGTGGGTTTTGAAGGCTTTTCCTTAGGTGTGAGTGGCTGCAGTTGTGTGCTGAGCAGTTTCAGGGGGAAAGAGTCCTCTCCATAGCGGCCTCCCTTGTACAATTTCAGACTTCCTCTGGAATACCCTCCCTGGGGAGTTCCTTTTTGAATCCTCTGTACTATACATTTAGACATCAGGGTTAAGCCAAGCCAGTCCTTTTCTGAGAGGAATTTAATTTTGAATTTTCTACTTCTGCTATTATCTTTATTGCTAAGAAACTTTTAGATGGCTTAACATTTTCATGAAATGCACTCTCTTACAGTTACTTTTGTTTGTTTGTTTGTTGTGAACTCTCCCAAGGGTGACAGTATCGAAAATTAAGAAATGCTTGGTGCTGAGGCTTGCATCCTTGACTGTAGCACAGAAAGAATTGTTTCCTTCATGTTGTGCATACTATATATTGGAGAAAATAAATATACCTGGTTGTGTACAAAAGTGATGCAAATTAATTGTGAAAACTTGGATACCTGGCTGCAGAGGTAGAGGTTAGGGGTTCGATTCCCCACAGTACATCCTGGGAGAAGAGCCAGTCTGTGTAGCCTTGGGCAAGTGGTATGCTCTCAGATAATCCTCAAAAGAAGGGAATGGATGGAAACCCACTTCTGACTACTTTCTACCTAGAAAATCTTGGAAATGGTTGCAATAAACTGACATCAAGTCAGTTCTGACATTATTAATTACTCATGCTGGGAACCAGCTGCTAACTGTAGCTTTTCTGTGTGGTTGTGGATGCGTGTGTGCACATATACACACAGTAAGATAAATAATATTAATATACAAGTTCATAAGCATCACAAATGATGTCATACAAATATTTCCTCATATGCTTGGCCAAGTCAGTTGTTTGTGAGGTGGCCCTTTGGTATTTTATGTAGGAAAATAAGTTGCACACACTCTTCCCCTTATTGTCACAACATCAATATGTGCATTCATGGCTTGTTTGTGTGTCTAGGTGGAACAAATTGTTTCAGAATTTAAGGTGAGAGCACGGCAGTGTCATCCTGACAAAGATCCTGCAGGTCCGCAAGCTGGTATGTGACTCTTCTCCTTCTTGTTTATCGTGTCAAGAGATGGCATTGGTCTCAAACAGGGAAGCTGCTTCGAGAGTTTGGGAGCACTTGACAATTGTATTTTTTTCTTATCCTGGAATAGTAGTGGCTCACAAACAGACAATCCCTCCCCGTGGCCCTTTGTGCGTACCTGTGCAAAGTGTTTCACTACTTAATAGTATTCAGATAGTTGGCCCTCTTCAAATGTTCAGATCCTAGCAAACATACAATCTTGCCACCTAAGCTGTTGGCTGCTTCTATTATGACTTATTTACATTAATGCACTGTTCTTCCTTTCCAGTACTATGTTGTCACATAGTGCTCTATTCATATACAGTGGTGCCCCACTTGACGACGACCCCGTTAGACGACGAAATCGCTTTGTACAAACATTAACTTCAAACACCTGATTCTCTAGTGTGGGTCTTTGCCAACATATGTTTTTAGCAGGATGGCTTACAAAGCCAAATATGCCACCTCTTTTTTGTTTGTATTTTGTTTTGTTTAAATGTTGCATTATAAACAGCTCTTTAGAGTAGAGAAAGCTTTTAAAACTTGTTTCTTTTTCAGATAGCAATGGTTTAGGACCTCGATATCTAGCCTCTTCCCACCTAGATCTCTCTAGCAGAATGCCTCTTCCCACCTAGATCTCCCTTGCTAGATGTTTTTTAAGAGCAAACTTAAACCCTGGCTTTTTAGGCAGGCTTTCCCTCCTGTCATCACTTGAATATTTTTTCCCATCTTGAACTATATTGCTACTATTGTTTTTTATTTCATGATATTGTTTTTATTTTATCTATTATTGTTAGCTGCCCGGTCTAGATGGGCAGGGTATGTATCAATCAATCGATCAATCAATCAATGGGAAAATTGTGGCATTGGGTTTTCTTTTTTTACAGGTTTAACAAAAAATAGGGTTGGTCTATATGGTTTGTGAAGAAAACAATTCCAGAAATTGATTCATGGAAAAAAAGAATCCAAAGTCGACAGGTGGGCTGTACCTTTATTAGGACCAACCAAATTCATGCAAAGATTTGTATGCCTTGTTTGGTCCTAATCATCAGGAGAGGCCTTTATCTTGGCCCTGCTACCTTCTCAGGTCTTTCTGATGGGAACACAGGAGAGAGCCTTCTCTGGTGCTGCTCCCAGACTTTGGAAGCCAGACTGGCTCCATCTTTGCTATCCTTCCACAAGCAGACGAAGACCTTTCTCTTTAGGCAAGCCTTCCCTCAATAACCAGCAACCTGTGTGTGATATTAGGATAGATTGTTATGCATTACTGCTTTGACTAATTTGTTAGTGCTACTTGTATTTTCCTTGCAAAGTGACATTTTTTAAAAATTGTTTACTTACTGATCTTTGCTTAATATTGCCTGTTAATTGATATAAGATGCCTCCTTATTCATTGTTCATAGTTTTAAAATATCACTTTTTAATTATGTTAAGCACTGTTTTATACTCCTTGTTTTCATCTTTAGATATTGTCTTTCTTTGTTGTAAGTCTCCTTGAGTCCTTTTCAAGGAGAAAGGTAGGGTATAAAATATTTTAAATAAATAAATAATAAAAGTGTGGCCCAACAGTGAGTTGTTATAAATGTTTCTCCTGTTACGCATTTTGTTGAATTTTCTTTATTTGCATTTCTGTATTTTCTACAAATTTTGTTCTCTGTCTCTCTCAATGTTGACATAGAGAAATTTGTGTATTGCTGAATGGTGTACAAATACTGTACAATAAATGTATTTGTATAGAATGGTAAACTGCAACCTCCATACTAAAGTAGGATTGTGCTTACAACTCCAGCTTCCATGTGTTGATCAGCTCTCATGGCAATCATGGCTTTAGGCTTTTTATACAAAAGGTGAAATAAACATGTGTCTGAGTTGTCACATGTACAATCTCACATATGCCAGCTTTTGACAACTTCCACTGAAAATGGAAAGTATAAATAATGTCTCTTCAAACGTTAAGGTCTTTCAATTTCTCTTTGTGGTCATCACAGCAGAAGGCAACCAAAGGTAGGAAAACCCTTCTGAAATCTTCAAGTTGCCACTGGCCAGTTCCAAGTCTGATTTGATTACATTTAGACTTGTTTCAATAGTAATGCCCTTTAAATTTCAGTACCATATTTTTTGCTCCATAAGCTGCACCTGACCTTAAGACACACCTAATTTTTAGAGGAGGAACATAGGAAAAATATTCTGAACCAAATAGTGTAATAAAATATTTAATAAACTATAACAGAATAACATTTGAACCATGTAAAGTGAACAGCAGTCAACAGTGGCATTAAGAACCATTACCACTGTCATTAACAAATGGAGAGACTTAAAGGTTTGTGTACTCTAGTTTATGTACCATAAATTTTTGTACCATAAATTTAAGTCAAGTACATATAGACCATTATCAGCCAGTGATAAGTCTTATTCCACACTACCTATATTTTACATTTCCTTTCATCCACCTCATCCCCATGCTTATAGTAATGTCTCAATGACAGATGAGATTGTTGTGCAACTCTGCTCAGCTACAGCTCAAGCCTATATAGTTAGAAATGGTTTGTCTAATTTGGCACTGCATTGAGAGGTCCCTTTTAGTTGTGTGGAGGATAAATAGTGGAATTAAACTATTTAACAGCTCGTTTTCCTTATTTATAGGGACGTGGTGGCGCTGTGGGCTAAACCGCAGAAGCCTGTGCTACAGGGTCAGAAGACCAAGCAGTCGTAAGATCGAATCCATGTGACGGAGTGAGCGCCCGTCACTTGTCCCAGTTCCTGCCAACCTAGTGGTTCGAAAGCATGCAAATGCGAGTAGATTAATAGGGACCACCTCAGTGGGAAGGTAACAACGTTCCGTGTCTAAGTCACACTGGCCATGTGACCATGGAAGATTGTCTTTAGACAAAACGCTGGCTCTATGGCTTGGAAACAGGGATGAGCACCGCCCCCTAGAGTCGAACACGACTGGACAAAAATTATCAAGGGGAACCTTTACCTTTCCTTATTTACTTTAGGTTATGCAAAAGAACAGCAACACAGCTTAACCTGATCCCATTCACCAGCAGTAGCACATGCTCAGCATAAGACATAGCAGGAAAAAGATATTAACCCCTTCCATGCCCACCATTTGTCCATGCCAGTTTGACCTGCAAAAGTAAACTTGCATCTTGAATCCTATGAAGGAAAAGCTGCAGGAGTCTATGAGTGGAAATACAGTGGAACACTCACCCTGTCACATACACACAAAAAATCCCTTCCTAAAGCTCTTTTAATGTTTTAAATGGTGCTATCTTGAAATACACATTTATCTGTAATGTGTAGTTAAATAAAACAGGAGCCAATGACAACACTGAGATTTGTGTAACTAAGGGTGAGCTAACGTGTGAATCATCTACAAAAGAAAAAATCAGATTTATGTTCATGGCTCAAGTGTGTGTACTTCTGATGATTTACGTCATTAATGGATACTAGAAAACTAACTTCCTGTATAAGAATTATTATACTGTTAAGTTGCTTCCTGTGCAAGATTTAAGAGGTTGTCAGACATGGCGGTCAGGGGGAAATGGGAAGTGTGGAGAGAAGAAATGTAACTGGAAAACTAATATGTGCCAATGTTTAATTTCTCTCTCATATTTAGCATTTGAATTCAGTGCATTTGAAAAGAAGCATTTATTTTAGTAAGCTGGCATACATGAATGAATCATCATCATCAACATGATCATATAATAGAAAGGTGACTCACAGATAAAATCTCAGTCTTCATAACCTTTACACAGATGGTTACTAAGGATGTGGCCTCATGTTTCTGCTGTAGCAAGGAAAGTTTGATTTTATTATTTATAGACAGTATTTTTTAGCCGCAACATTACCAGTGGCTTCCGGGCGGTGTACAACAATCTTAAAACTTAAAAACATTAAAAATATTAAAAAGACAATATAAAATATCCTATATTAAAACAATTCTTAAAACATTAATATTAAGTTCTGCTGCTCATGTGGCCAACTATAGAATACTGTTTAATTAAAATGCTGGCTAAACAGGAAGGTCTTTACCTGGCGCCGAAAAGCCAAAAGTGTTGGAGCCAGGCGGATCTCTATAGGGAGGGCATTCCAAAGTTGGGGGGCAACAGCCGAGAAGGCCGTGTTTTGACATGCCATCCCCCTCACTTCTTTCAGGGATGGCATCTTCAGAAGGGCCTCCTGGCCTGATCTTAGAAGACGGGCAGGCTCACATGGAAGAAGGCGGTCCTTTAGATAACCAGGTCCTAAGCCATTTAGGGCTTTATATGTCAAAGTAAGCACTTTGAATTGGGCCCGAGCACCAACCGGCAGCCAGTGTAAATTTTTCAGAACCAGCATGATATGAGTCCATGCAGCGGCACTGCTTACCAGCCACGCAGCCTGGTTCTGTGCCAGTTGCAGTTGTCAGACCGTCTTCAAAGCCTGCCCCACGTATAGTGCATCGCAGTAGTCCAGTCTGGTTGTTACCAGTGCATGAGTGACTGTTGTCAGGCTCCGCTCATCCAAGTAAGGGCGAAGTTGATATATTCTCCACAGCTCTAAGAAGCCACTCCTGGACACTGAGTCCATCTGGGCTTCCAAGGTCAGACTGGGGTCAAGGAGCACCCCCAAGCTGCGGACCCTGTCCTTTAGGGGGAGTGTAATCCCATCTAAGGCAGGGAAATGGCCCTTTAACCTATCTGG